GCGAGAAAGTGTAGCAGCAACAGCGGGCAGCAGCAGGCAGTGTGTCAGCAGCAGCGAGGCCGGCCGTTGGCACCCGAGCAGCAGCAGCAGCAGCAGCAGCAGGAGCCGCCGCCGCAGCCGCCGCCCCCCCCGCGCCAGCAGCAGCAGCGCCTGCCGCAGCCGCCGCCGCGCAGAGCCTCTTCGCGCGCGAAAATGGAGAGCCCGCCGCCCCCCGCCGCGCAGCAGCAGCAGCAGCAGCAGCAGCAGCAGGAGCAGCAGCAGGAGGCCGCGGACTTCGAAGACGAAGTCGTCTCCTCCTTCGACAGCCTCCCCCTCAACGAGAAGCTCCTCCGCGGCATCTACTCCTACGGCTTCGAAAAGCCCTCCGCCATCCAAATGCGCGGCATCAAGCCCATCATCGACGGCCACGACACCATCGGCCAGGCGCAGAGCGGCACGGGCAAGACCGCCACTTTCGTGATTGCGGCGCTGCAGAAGATCGACTACGACAAGCCCGCCTGCCAGGTCCTCATCCTCGCGCCCACGCGGGAGCTCGCCCAGCAGATCCAGAAGGTCCGCCCCGCTCTTGCTGGGGGTCCACTGCCCGCTGCTGCTGCTGCTGCTGCTGCTGCTCCTGCTGCTGCTGCTGGGAGGGGGGTCCGGTTGTGGCCCCGGCGCGCGGGGAGGGCGAATCTGCTGCTGCTGCTGCTGCTGCTCCTGGGAGGGGGGTGGGGTTGTGACCCCTCGTTGGGGAGCAGGGAGGGCGAATCCGCTGCTGCTGCTGCTGCCGCTGCTGCTGCGGTGCAGGTGGCGCTGGCGCTGGGGGACTACCTGAACGTGCTGTGCCACGCGTGCGTGGGAGGCACCTCGGTGCGGGAGGACGCGCAGCGGCTGCACGGGGGCGTGCACGTGGTGGTGGGGACTCCGGGGCGCGTGAACGACATGCTGGAAAAGAGACACTTGCGCTGCGAACAGATGCAGCTGTTCGTGCTGGACGAGGCGGACGAGATGCTCTCGCGGGGCTTCAAGGCGCAGATTTTGGCGGTCTTCCAGCACCTGCCGCAGGACGTGCAGGTGGCGCTGTTCTCGGCCACGATGCCCGCTGACATTCTCGAACTCACCACGCAGTTCATGCGCAAGCCCAAGCGGATTCTGGTGAAGAAGGACGAGCTCACGCTCGAGGGCATTGCGCAGTACTTCATCGACGTCCAGCGCGAGGAGAACAAGTTCGACACCCTCGTCGACCTCTACGAAACCCTCACCATCACCCAGGTCTGCCGCCGCAAACCCTTTTTCGGGGTTTACGCCGCGGGGCCCGCCCGCGCCCGCGCGCTTTCCGGCTCCCCGGGGGCCCCGCGCTGCGGCGCTTGTGACGAGGGGTCATCAGCGGGGGTTTGGCCTTTCGCAAAGGGTTTTGGGCTCGTCTTTGAAGTGTCTCCTTTTTGAAGTGTCTCCTTTTTGAAGTGTCTCCTTTTTGAGGTGTCTCCTTTTTGAAGTGTCTCCTTTTCCGAGAGTTCGGTCTCTGTTTCGACCGCGTCTTTTAACCAAGTCTTTTTTGTGGAGTGTCTCCTTTCGTGTTCGTGTCTCTGGCTGGGTGTCTCCTTCCGAGAGCCGCCTTCGAGATTCGTTAAGTGTCTCCTTCATTGTTCAGTTTGTTCTTTTTGAAAGTGTCTCCTTTTGCAAGTTGTTGCCTGAGAAATGTGAAATAGTGTCCCCTTTAAGAAGTGTCTCCTTTTAAATATCTTCTCAGTACCTTTTTTGAAGTGTTTCCTTCACGAAGTGTCTTTTTTTAAGAATATCTCCTTTCAAAAATGTCTCTTCTCAAGAAGTGTCTCCTTTTGTTTTAAAAAGTCTCACACAAGAAATATCTTCTCTCAAGGAATGTCCCCCTTAACAACTGTGTCTCCTTTAAAAGTATCTTTTTTCAACTGTCTCCTCCTTTAACTCTCTCCTTTTCTAACTCTCTCCTTTTCTAACTCTCTCCTTTTCTAACTCTCTCCTTTTTTAAATGTCTGCTTTTCTAAATGTCTGCTTTTTTAGATGTGTCCCCTTTTAAATATCTCTTTTTTAAAATGTTTTCCTTTTTAGGTATTTCTTTTGTTGAGTGTCGGTTCTTAAGAACTGTCTCTTTTTGGCGAGCATCTTCTCAAGAAGCGTCTCCTTTGGAGTGTCTCCTTTTAAGAAGAGTCTCCTTTCAAGTTTTGTTTTTTGAACATCTTTTTAAAAATGACGTCTCCTCTTCTGAGTCTCTTTCGCAAAGTGTCTCCTTTTTAAAGTACACGTGTTCAAGCATGTCTTTAAAAAGTCTCCTTTCTAATCACCTCTTTTCAAATCTGTTTTTTTTGAAGTGTGCCCTCCTCAAGCCATCTCTTTGCTTTCGAACACAACTTTCAAAGTGTCTCCTCATCTCCAGTTTTCGAGACTGTCTCCCTTCCCAAACTGTCTCCCTTTTTAACCCACGACCTCTCCAACAACCCCGTCCCACCCATCACCCCTTGCACACCTGCTTAGACCCCACCTGCTGCTGCTGCTGCTGCTGCTTCGACCCCATCTGCTGCTGCTGCTGCTACCTGCCGGCCGCAGGTCTGCTGCTGCTGCTGCTACCTGCCGGCCGCAGGTCTGCTGCTGCTGCTGCTTGGACCCACCTGCTGCTGCTGCTTGGACCCACCTGCTGCTGCTGCTTGGACCCACCTGCTGCTGCTGCTGGACCCACCTGCTGCTGCTGGCGGACGCACCTGCTGCTGCTGCCGGACGCACCTGCTGCTGCTCTTGGACGCACCTGCTGCTGCTGCCGGACGCACCTGCTGCTGCCGCTGCCGCAGGCAATAATATACTGCAACACGCGGCGGAAGGTGCTGCAGCTGGTGGAGATGATGACGGGCCACGACTTCACCGTCTCCGCGATGCACGGCGACATGGAGCAGCAGCAGCGCGAGACGGTGCTGCGGGAGTTCCGCAGCGGCTCCACGCGCGTGCTGATCACCACGGACCTGCTCGCGAGGGGCATCGACGTGCAGCAGGTGTCGCTGGTGATCAACTACGACATTCCCACTTCGAAGGAGAACTACATCCACCGCATTGGGCGCAGCGGGCGTTTCGGGCGGAAGGGCATCGCCATCAACTTCGTCACGGCCGCGGACATGGAGCAGCTCAAGGACATTGAGACGCACTACAACACGCAGATCCAGGAGATGCCCGCCAAGCTCGACACCAAGTAGCTGCTGCTGCTGCTGCTGCTGCTGCGGGGCGGCGGCGGGGCGGGGCTGCGCTGCTGCGCCGCCCGCCGCGCGCCTTCCGGGAAATTGTCATTTGTTCGGGGGAATTTGTTTTCGGGGCGGGGCTTCCGCGCCTGCGGCGGGCTGCGCGCAGCTGCTGCGGGCCCGCAGCTGCATGCATGCATGCGCCCAGCTGCGGGCCCGCATCCGCGCAGCTCCATGCATGCATCCGCGCAGCTGCGGGCGCGCATGCGCGCAGCTCCATGCATGCATCCGCGCAGCTGCGGGCGCGCATGCGCGCAGCTGCGGGCATGCATGCGCGCAGCTGCGGGCGGGCATGCATGCGCGCAGCTGCATGCATGCATGCGCGCAGCTGCGGGCGGGCATGCATGCGCGCAGCTGCGGGCGGGCCTGCGTGCGCGTATTCTAATTCTTCCTTCAATTCTCTCAGAGCCAAAGCACCAACACCTTTACGAACAACCCTCACAAACACAAAAACAACCACGCAGCAGCGGCAGCAGCAGCAGCAGCAGCAGCAGCAATTGCACGACACAGGTCTGTCCCGCTGCGCAGCTAGGGTTTAGGCTTTAGGGTTTGGAGCCAGTGGGAGTGGACTGTCGCTGGCGCGGCGGCGGGTTCCTTGGGCAGTGTCGGGGTTGCACGTTGTTATCGATTAGATTCGAGTTGGAGCTGAATTCAAATCAATCACTAAAATTGAATTCTATTTTACTTCGAATTATGCTTAATTTCAAATTCAAAGCCAAACCAGGCAGGGCCCCGAACAGCAAGACAGACGCAGACACCGCGAGCAGCAGCTGCAGCGGCGGCAGCGGGGCTGCGGTGCAAAAGGTGCGCGGAGTTGCTGCAGTGGGAGGATTGGTTGAGTCCAAAATGAATAAAATTGAGTTTGTATTTCATTTCCTTCAAACATTCCGAAGTCCAGCTTCTCCAAAACGCCCGGCAGCAGCAGCAGCAGCCGGACCAGCAGCAGCAGCTGCCTATACACCTCAACCAACACCGCAACACCCGCTGCGCTGCGCTCCGCGAGCTTCCCCCGCATTTCTTTATTTCTTTTTTCTTCCTCTTGAAATTAATTTCATTTCTTTTTGTTTTCAAGTCCCCAAGACCCGCTAGCTCCGCGCTTCCCGCTGCTGCTGCTGCTGCAGCAAGACAGGCTCGTCTCGCTGCACCACACAATGGCCTTCCCACGGCGCGGCTCGGGCTCCGGCTCCGACGGCAGCAGCGAGGCCCTCAAGAAGGGCCCCCAGGGGCCCCCGGGGGCCCCCGGGGCCCCGGGGGCCCCCGGAGGCTGGGGCCCCGCGGGGGCCCTGCAGCGGCTGTTCAGCGAAGCAGATAAGTACCTGCAAGATGCCCCTGTGGCGCAGCAAGCAGCAGCAGCAACAGGACTTAGGCCTTCTTTTCTTGTTGCTGTTGCTGCTGCAGTTCTTTTCATAAGTTTGGGCACTGGTTTTGGGGGGGGCCTCGTCTGCGACATTGCGGGATTCCTTTACCCAGGTTAGCAGCAGCAGCAGCAGCAGCAGGAGCGGTAGAGCAGCAGCAGCAGCAGCAAGTGCAGCGCAGCAGCAGCATTGCAGCAACTTCCGCAGCAGCAGCTGCGCAGCAGCACCCACAGCTCCAGACCCGCTGCAGCTGCCGCACCAGCACCCGCACCCGCAGCAGCAGCAGCAGCAACAGCAGCAGATGTGTTGTGCTGCTGCAGCGTGGATGTCCTTTCTGGCAATTGAAAGTCCAGGAACAGAAGGCGAAAAGTTGTGGCTGACTTACTGGGTCGTTTACAGCGCCTTTTCCATTTTGGAATATTTCGTGGACTTCATTCTGTTTTGGATTCCTTTTTACTACTTGTTCAAGTTCTGCTTCCTCCTCTACCTCGCTCTCCCCCGCTTCAAGGTGCTCTAGGGTTTAGGGTTTAGGGTTTAGGGTTTGGGATAGTGTCCTGCGGTATTTTCGGGATTAGCTGCTGCGTCTTTGGAGTCAGTTGCTGTTCGATTGTCTCGTGAATTGCTTTTAATTCATTTTAACTATTTCCGAAACCTGCTGCTGCTACTGCTGCTGCTGCTGTTGCTGCTGCTGCTGCTGCTGTGCAGGGCGCGGAGACGATATACAACTTGGTGATAAGGCCTTTGCTGCTGCAGCAGCAGCAGCCGCTGCAGCAGCTGGCAGAAGCTGGCAACAAAGCAGCAGCAGAGCTGCAGCAAAAAGTGCTCGAGGGAATTAACAAAGTGCAGGGGGCTGTGTCTGTGGTGAGACAAAGACGCTAGTTTATTGTTTATTTATTATTTATTATTATCTATTGTTTATTTATTATTATTTATTATTTGTTTATTATCATTAATTATTTGTTCTTTTTTTGTGATTGTTATTATTTATTATTTGTTGTTTGGGATTATTGCTTTTTCTCTTTTGTTCTTCTTTTGCCTTTTGGAAGTGGAAAGTGTTTATTCAGAAATGTTTATTTGTAAGTATTTAATCAAATGCGTATTTACGAACATTTAATTGAATATTTATTTACAGATATTTAAACATAAATAAACATTTCGAAATAAATAAGCAAATCCTTCCGGTGTATTTACCGCGCTGCATGCATGCAGAGCTGTCTGTACACTGCATGCGCCAGCTGTTCTATTTCTTCTTTTTCTCGGATTCCTTTATCTCGTTCAGTTTCTGTTTCTTTATTATTCTGTTTGTTTTTCATTTATGTTTCTACTTTTTGCGCCTTTTAGTGCTGCATTTTCTGCGTTTGAGTGTCTGTGTGTTGGGGTGTACGTACACCCGGTGCAAACGCATGCAAAAGCCCCGTGCATGCGCTTGCATGCAAAAAGCCCCTTTTGCTGCTCCTTTTCTGAATCTTTCCTCTAAAGTGAAATGTAAAAGTGCATGTGAGCTGCTAACAAGGCCTAGAGACTTCAGCGCCAAAACAATTACTTTATTTCTTCCCCTTTTCATTTTAATCCATTAAAAATGAACTCTGTGTGTAAACGTGTACAAATATATATAAGTAACACTGCATATAAATAAATGTGTACATTATGTAAATATATATATGTATATATAATATATATATATGTATGTGTGTATATATATATAGGAATATGTATGCTAAAATGTGCAAATAAACCCTTTTATGTTTAGTAAATGGTAAATGTGTAAATGTGTAAAAGTAATGAAATGCATGAAGGCCAAATGCAAGAGTTGCTGCTGTTGCAGTGTATGTACACCTGAAGACATGATGCATGTCTTAAGGCTTTCGTCTTGAACTTTTTTTCGTGATGTTCTTGAGTCTGCATAAATGGATAATAAACAAATAAACAAACAAATTAACAAACAGATAAATAGATAAATAAATAAATAAAATGAATTGAATAAAAATGGATTATTTCGAGGAATGAATAAATGCCAAAAAGACGGGTGCAAATGGAAAAAGGTATTTGCCTAATTTGCCCCATCTGAATTTATTCTTTATTATTTATTTTATTATTTATTATTTATTTATTATTTATTTTTATTTCTTTCCTTTTATTCTTTTATTATTTATTTCCCATTTCGAAGAAACTCAAAATTTATAAATGCTATGGTGCAGGCGGGCGGTGTGCATACACCGCAAGTGGCCCCCGAGCCCCCCAAGAGAGAATAAAAGAAAAGAAAAAAGAAAGAAAGAATTAAATAGTTAAATAAAAATAAATAAATAAATAAATAAATAAATAAATTTAATTAATTTAAATAAATTAAGAGAAACAGCTGTCTTTGCTAACGAGTAGAGACAGCGAGACAGGGAGACAGTTACTTATCCCGTTTTTATTATTTGTTTATTTATTTTTTATTCATTTATTTATTTATTTGTTATTTAATATTAATATTTAATAATTAATAATGAAGATAAATAGTTGAAAATGAGACAAAAATAAAGAAGAGAAGGAGAAAAAGAAAAAGAAAACGAAGTTGGACTGCAGCAAATGACAAAAAGACAAAAAAAGAAAAAGACAAAAAGACAAAAAAGAAAAAGATAAAAAGGAATTGAGGAAAGAATTAAGGAGACAAAGAAGTTCCAAAGGATAAAGAAGACAAAAAGAGACAAAGAGGAAAAAAAAGAGACTTGGAACAATCTGGCAAAAGGTATGACGCAAACTTTGCTGCTGCTGCTGCTGGAAGCAGCAGCAGCCTCCTCCTGCAACAGCAGCAGCAGCAGCTGCTGCTGCTGCTGCAGCTCCTGGTGGTCACTGCAAGGCGGTGAACATTCCACACAGTGCATGCGTAGCAGCAGCAGCAGCTGCTGCTGCTGCTCCTGTTGGCGTTGCGGCGGCGTTTACTGAACTGCAGCAGCACCGACTGAGGCAGCGGATATGCCTGAGCGGCAGCAGCAGCAGCAGCAGCTGCTGCTGCTGCTGCTGCAGCTGCTGCTGCAGCTGCTGCAGCAGCTACCGAGCTGCTGCGGCTGCTACTGCGGCTACAGCAGCAGTGAGTGAGCTGCTGCTGCTGCTGTTGCTGCTGCTGCTACAGCTGCCCTTGCTGCTGAGGCATCGGAGGTGTCTGTACACCCAAAATGTCTCTTTGCGGGCGGGTTTGAGGACTCGATTTAATAATCAGATTAAATTAAAGTTATTTATTTATTTTTCTTTTTAAATAGTCAGATTAAATTAAAGTTATTATCTATTTATTTATTTTCCATTTTAAATACTCAGATTAGATTAAAGTTATTATTTATTTATTTTTCATTTTAAATACTCGGATTAAATTAAAGTTATTGTTTATTAATTTATTTTTCATTTTAAATAATCGGATTAAGTTGAAGTTATTGTTTATTTATTTTTCATTTTAAGTTATCAGGTTAAGTTGAAGTTGTTATTTATTTATTTCCATTTTGAGTTATCAGATAGATTAAAGTTATTATTTATTTATTTTTCATTTTGATTTATCAGATTAGAGTTATTGTTTATTTTGTTTCTTATTTTGAAGAATCAGATTAGATTAAAGTTATTATTTATTTCTTTTTCATTTTGAACAATCTGATTGAATTAAAGTTACTGTTTATTTTTTCCTCATTTTAAATGATCAGATTAAATTAAAGTTATTATTTGTTTGTTTTTCATTTTGAATAATCAGATTAAAGTCATTATTTCTTTTTCATTTTGAATAGTCAGATTTAATTAAAGTTATTATTCATTTATTTTTTGGTCTGAATGAACAGATTGAACTAAAGTTATTATTTTACTTTCTTTTTATTTTGAATGATCAGATTAGATTAAAGTTATATTTTATTTTGTTTGCGTTCTGAATAATCAGATTCAATTGAAGTTATTGTTTTATTTTGTTCTCATTTTGAATAATCAGATTCAGCTGAAGTTGTTATTTTATTTTGAATAATCAGATTAAATTGAAGTCACTATTTTAGTTTTTTATTTTGAATAATCAGATTGAATTAAAGTTATTATTTTATTTTGTTTTTTATTTTGATTGTTTATTTGACGTCCCGCAAGTGGCAAAGTAATAATGCATCATTATAGATGCAAATTCGAATTGTAAAGCATTATTTATACATAAATGTTTATTTATATTTAAATAATGTTTAAGAATTCTGATTTGCATTTATAAATTTAAATTAAAAGCTGCAAATAAAAATAAAATGCCACCAAAGAACTTCGCCGTTTGCTGATTCAGATTTGCTGCTGGAGAGGCAGCGGGGTGTACATACACCTCAGCAACAGCAGCAACGAAAGCAAAACGAACGTTTGTACCTCTTTTATATTTCTGTTAAATGAATTAATTTATTTTATTGGATTTATTTTATTTTATTTCGGCAATAATGGCAAAAGAAAAAGGGAAAGAAGAAACGACAGAGGGGTGTTGCTGCTCCGCGGTGTACGTACACCTGAAATTGACCCAGAACCAAAAATGTAATTTTGCAAGAATGCAACAGCAGCGAAATGTCTTCAAACAATTTAAAAAGTAATAACGGTATTTCTTTTACACTTTGTCTTTATAATGCAATTAATTGCAAATAAAAAGAACCACTTTGTGCTGCAGCTTGCGTAATACAGGCAGCACCAGCATCAGCAGCAGCAACAGCAAGTAAATATCAAAATGCCGCTGCATGTGCATTTATATATGCATGCCATATAATTTTCCAAATAAAAACTAAACTAATTCTGAATAAACAAATGAACAAAAATAAACAAATACATTTCTGCATGAAAGAATACAAAAAGGTCTAAAGAAATAAAGAAATATTTGCATAATGAGAAGTGTTTATAAATAAATGTAAAACTCTAAATAGTTGCTGCAACTGAAGTGGATTTTAAATACACTCTACTCTAAAATGTTTATTATCCAATCTTTTATTTATAATACTAGGCCAGTTCGCTCCCAAAAAGAACTATAAGTGCAGTAGTAGCAGCAGCGGCAGCAGCAGCAACTCTGCCGTTTTGTTGCTGCTGCTGCTGCTGCTACAATTGCTTCTGTTGCTGCTGCTATTTGTGCTGCTGCTCCTGCTGCCGTTGCCGTTTGTACAGATGCTGCTGCAACTGCTGCTGCTGTTGCTGCTGCTGCTGCAGAGGTTTAAGCACCCAATTGTAATGTGTAATGTGTTAGCAGCAAAATGAAGAAATAAAAGTTTTATTTTATTAATTTTTACTTCCGAAAAAACGAATGAAAGAAAAGGGCATTTTGAGGTGTACGTACACCTCAAATGTGTCTTGCGGGTTGTAAGGTGCAGCAGCAAAAACAAAATAAATAAAATATTAAAAAAGCAGCAAATAAATATAAAAAGGCAGCAATTAATCAAACTCAACATGCATGCATCACCCTAAAACCCCCTAAACCCTAAGCCCTAAACCCTAAACCCTAAACCCTAAACGCTGGTTTGGGTTCTCTACTGCATTATTTGCTGCTGCATTTTGCTTGCTAAGATCCACTAGTACTTAGGTTGCCTCTAGCATTGCTCCACAGTCCTGCTGCCGCTGCTGCTGCTGCTGCTTTTGCTGCTGCTGCTGCTGCTGCTAGGGCCGCAGCATTTCGGTTGCCTGGCGTAGTCGCGATAGCAGCAGCGACCTTTGTTGTTGTTGCTGCTGCTGCTGTTGCTGCTGCTGCTGCGCCTGAAGCACCACGATCTTTGTAAGACGCAGCAGGCGAGCTTCCGCCTCCTGCAGGCAGCAGCGGCACAGCAGCAGCAGCAGCAGCAGTACAGCAGCAGCAGCAGGAGGCGCTGCAGCAGCAGCAAGAGTAAGACTACCTATGCAACCGCGGCAGTGAGAGAAGCAGCAGCAAAAGCAGCAGCAGCAGCAGCGAAACTGACCTGAAGCGCTGCAGCGCCTGCTGTTGCTGCGTCCATTGCTGCTGCATCTGCTGCTGCTGCGTCTGCTGCTGCTGCGTCTGCTGCTGCTGCTGCAGCAGCAACACTGCGTGCTGCTCGCGCCCACTTGAAGGCTCTGCTGCAGTCGCCTGTGCCTTCCCACACTGTAGACAGTTGCGTGTACACCTGAAAAACGATAAAGTTGAATTATTTGAATTTAATCAATTAAATTCTGATTAATTAATTAACTAATTAATTATTAATTAGTTAATTAATTAATTAACTATTCATTATTTATGTGTTCAATAGAACAACAAGCGCAGCGGGCTGACGACAAACTAAGAAAACCGCTGAAGCCGGAGCAGCAGCAGCAGCAGCAGCACGAGCAGCAGCAGCAAGAGCAGCAGGAGCCGCAGCAGGCTCGTTGAGTACAGCAGCAGCAGCAGCACCAGAGCTACGGGCGTCTCACTTCCACTAGGTACAGGTTGCTGTTGATGCTGCTGCTGCTGCTGCTGCTGCTCGTCAGGAGTTCTTCAAGCGCTGCCTCTGCTGCTGCGGCACAGCGCCGTGCGATTGCAGCGGCCTGCTGCAAGTCACAGGGCTCCATCTGCTGCTGCTGCTGCACCTGCGGCTGCTGCTGCTGCTGCGTCTGGATCTGCTGCTGCACCTGCAGCTGGTCGAGCGCGCACCTTGCTGCAGCAAGCAGCAGCAGCGGCAGCAAACAGTGCGGGCGGGGCCCCACACACCACAGCAGCAGCAGCAAAGCCCTTTGCATGTGGGCCATGCTGCGGCGCATGCAGAGCAGCCCGGGGAGGCGGGCGAAGCAGCAGGCGAGCTGCACGTGCAGCAGCAGCAGCAGCTGCTGCTCGCCGCTGCTGCTGGTGCTGCTGCTGCTGCGCTCGCAAAGAATCAAAGATCTCTGCAAATTGCTGCATGCATTTAAATCATCTCCTCCTAAACTAAATAAAAAGCCAACGAGAAAATAAGAAAAAGGAGCCTCCCTGTACATACACCCGAACGCACTTGCTGCTGCTGCTTGCTGCTTGCTGCTGGCACATTATTTTCATTTTAATTTCATTTTAATTTCATTTTAATTTAAATTTAATTCGCTTTTAATTTCATTTGAATTTTAACTCTAGTTTTTGTTTTATTTTTGATTTTGCTGCATCTTAGGCACCGCTGCAGCAGCAGAGACACTTTTGTGCTGCAGCAGCAGAGACACCTCCCTGCTGCAGCAGCAGAGACGCTTCATTGCTGCAGCAGCAGGAACGCCTTTCGCTGCAGCAGCAGAGACAGTTTCCTGCTGCAGCGGCAGCCCAACGAGGAGCTGCCGCTGCTGCAGCTAATTTGGATTTGCTGCTGCTGTCCAGGCCTTTAAGATGCTGCCGAAAGGGCAAAGCAGCAGCAAGCAGGCAGCAGCAGCCAGCAGAGTTTAGGGTTTAGGGTTTAGGGTTTGGGGACTCTCACGCGAATACGGAGGCGGGAAGCTGGTGAGAGACGCAAAGGGTTTGCTGCAGCAGGTCGAGGGCCCCTGCAGCATTCTCGGAGCAGCAGCAGCAGCAGCAGCAAGCAGCAGCAATCAGCGCCCGGATCGTCTGGCTGGGGGGACTGCTTTGCTGCTGCTGCAGCAAAGGAGACACCCGCAGCACATCCCCTGCCTTCATTAATCCACAGCTGCTGCTGCTGTTACTGCTGGTGTTGCTGCTGCTGTTGCTGCTGCTGTTGCTGCTGCTGGGGGAAGAGGGCAAAGACACCGTTGTGGGTGGGATGCCCTTCATTGACGCCTGGAGAGGCCAGTGATGCTGCTGCTGCTGCTGCTGCTGTTGCTGCTGCTGCTGCCGCTGCTGCTGCGATACTGGAGAGGAGTCGCTGGCAGTCTCTCTTGTATCCGTTGAAGCCCCAGTCTCTTCTGTGTCAGTTGTTCCCTTTTGCCGCTGCTTGTGCTGCTGCTGCTGCTTGTGCTGCTGCTGCTGCTTGTGTTGCTGCTGCTGCTGCTGCTGCTCTTTGCCCTGCAGCACGCGCATCCACTTCGGGATCTCCAGCCGCTGCTGCTGGCTGCTGCTGCTGCTGCTGTTGCTGCTGCTGTGGGCCCGCAGCAACTTAAGCGGCACTTGCTGGTTGAGCTGCACACCCAAGGCCTGGCAGAGGCAGCGCAGCAGCACGGCAGCATCTGCTGCCGTGCTGCAGCAGCAGCAGCAGCAAATCGAGGGAGGCAGCAAATGGCCAAAATGAGTCCACGCGCGGGCTCTTAGTCCTTCCCAGAGGCTCTGAGGTGTCTCCTTCAGCACTGCCAGCAGCGCCTGTTCCTGTGCACTCGCCCCTGCTGTTGCTGCTGCTGCTGCTGCTGCTGCTGCTGCTGCTGCTGCTGCTTCTGCTGCTGCTGCTGCTGGGGGCGGCAGCAGCGGCGCAAAGAGACAGTTCAGCAGGTGGGAGAGGCCCTCAGCAGTTTGCCCCAACGTGAGGCTTCCGAGGTGCCGGTTCAGCAGCCATTTGCTGCAGCGCAGCAAAATGTCTCTTTCCAGCAGCAGCAGCGGGAAAGGCATTTGTGCAGCAGCAGCAGCAACAGCACTTGCGCCCTCAACTGCCTCTACAGGTACTGCTGCTGCTGTTGCTGCTGCCGCTTTGTCTTGAGCTCCTGCTTCAGGCGCAGGCTCTGCCGCTGCCGCCCCTGTCCCTGCCGCCCCCGTTGCTGCTGTCTTTGCTGCTGCTGCTGCTGCTGCTGCTGCTGCTGGGGGCAGCAGCACCTGCACAGCGCGGTAAACAGCGCCCAAGTGCCTGCAGCGGAGACCCTGGAGATGCAGAAAAGCCTTAAGGTCTCCTGGCAGCAGCGGGAGACCCCACAGCAGCCGCTGCTGCTCGCACAGCA